CGGACCGGTACCAAACGACTCACGGACCGGTACCGGTCCGAGGCCCGGGGGTTGGGGACTGCTGCTGTAGGAGATTATTTGCACTGTACGCAGAGCTGTGTTACTCTTGGCTGGGTTCCCATCACGGGATATTTTGGTGTTGATTGGATTTCTTACTTTGAAGCCGTCTAGTCTGTGTCATGTCCTGTAACCCGAGGACTGTGGATGATGATGGCGGATGTGTAGGTTTTCCTTTTTCTATCTGTTGCTGCTGTGACGCTGCTTTCCAAGGCACATCCTGCTCAGCGGGAGGTTAACTCGCAGCTTTCAGGTGTGTTATCTTGTAGGTTTGAAGAGTACTTTCCAAAACTTTAATATATTTGTCTTTAAAAGCACAGGATTCTGCATCATCTTAGAAACGTTCACATCTCAAAGGTTTAAATTTCGACTTTTGTTACTTTTTAGTTCTGATGTTGCAGAAGGCGAGGGAGCCGTCTGTTCGCCGTGCTGGATGCTGATGGCGTGCAGCCATTTATTTATTTATTTGTTAGCTTTGTATTTTACGTGATGTTGAAAAGTTCTTTTGGGTGAACTTGCACCAGGAGCCAAGGTGCTGGATTTCCTACAGGCAACTTAAAATAAACCAGTGAGGTAAATAAATAACTTGCTTCAATTATTCGTCTATAACTGTAAAATTAGGTGGCGTTTGAATGTTGTCGTTAGTGATTAACAGGCTGTGACAGCTTGGATCATGGATGGATGGACGAGTGCGGATCTAAAACACAAAAACCCCATTAATTCATTTAATATGTGCATATATAATAAACTCTGTTTCATAGACATCTGTGAGATAATTCAATGGAGAGTTTTTGACTGTGACCTAATTTCCCGATGGTTATCACGTCGTCTGTAGTAACAGAGTAAATTACCAAGAAGCAGAGTAAATTTCATCCTCACCTCCCTCAGTAACGCTGATCCCATCCAAATGGGGCTCGAGTTAGTTCAGCATCAGCTGAGAGAGTTGGTACTGTGGGATCAAGCTCTGTGTTGGCTCTTTGCCTGCTTTGAAACAGACAACAGATGTTCTTTAAGAAAACACGAGAGACCGAT